CATGGTATTCTCCTGAGGCGGCTTCGGGGGATGGAAGTGTGCTGTCCTGGTTCGTTTCCTTCCTCTGCAGCTACTCTCAGTCAGTGTTGTTAGGAGGGGAGGGATCCAGCCCTCGCCCACTGCTTTACCAGCTTCCGTAGGGCTCAGTACTCTCTCTGCTCCTGTTCAACATTTATAGGAAGCTGTTGGGGTGAGATCATCCGTCACCATGGACTGAGGTATCACCAATATGCTGATGTATGTCTTGGCCTGTGTTAAGTAATGCCGTGTCCTCCCTCTCGCAGTGCCTGGAAGCTGTTAGGGGCTGGATGGGGAGCAATAGGTTGAAACTAAACCCTTGCAAGACCGAGTGGCTCTGGATTTGGGGTTTGTTGGCTCAGGGAGATTTACCATCTTTGGTCTTGGATGGGGTGGCACTACCCCAAACAGACCCTGTACATAATCTAGAGGTTTTCCTGGACTCATGACTCCTGATCGATGAGCAAGTAATGGTCATGGCCAGGAGGATCTTTGCGCAACTGCGGGTTGTGCACCAGTTACGCCTTTTCCTGGACCAACAATCCCTACTCAGAGTCACTCATGCCCTAGTCACTTCCCGTCTTGACTATTGTAATGCGCTCTACATGGGGCTGCCCTTGAAGAGCATCTGAAGTTTCAGTTGGTGCAAAACACAGTAGCCCTGCATGGTTTTATGCAGACCCCGGTGTGCACATGTATCACCTCTCCTGCATGAGATGCATTGGTTGCCGATTCGCTTTCGGGTGCAATTCAAGGTGCTGGTTGTCCTTTAAAGCCTTTCATGGCTTGGGACCAGGTTATCTGAGGGACCGTCTCTTGCCAGTCACATCTACCTCACCGATCAGAGGGTGGAGGCAGGGAATGTTGTGGGTCCCATACCCAAGGAAGATTTACCTGGTGAGGCTCAGAAGGGCCTTCTTAGTGGTGGCTCCCTCTCTGGATCATCATTCCCCCAGACAGTAGAATGGCCCTCAGTCTAATACTCTTCCAGAAGGTGCTGGAGACCTGGTTCTGACAGTGGGCCTTGAGAGAGTGGGATGGAACCTATTAAATGGCTCATGTGATCTGTCGTCAGGGCAGGGATGGGAGTTGGAGAGTGATTTTGTTATATTGTACTATATTAATTTATTTGATTATTTTTGTTAGTTTTTATTGTTTTAAATATGGTTTTATATTCTGTAAGACGCCTTGAGTCATCATGGGTGAATAGGCAGCAACATAAATGCAATAAATAAATTACATATATACATACATACATATATACATCCAACAGTACAGCCTAATTTAGTGGCTCTGATACAGCATACGTTTATTGCCATTTCTCTTGTTTTTCTTCCTCCCCATTTCCCCTCGCCACTAAGGATTGTTGTTACCCTTAAACTATTCACTCAAAATACCAAGAATTACTGTAGATCCAGCAACCATTTATACTGCTGTCTTCATGTTTTTGTGTTTATAGATTAAAAGGAGAGAGAATCTGAGCACATTTTAAATGAAACCAAATTTAATGAATACATTTATTCAAAACATTTAAGACAAAAACCACTTAATAAACCAATTACATACATAGCCAAACGAAGTAAATGTACTTCAATAATATCAGTAACTAACATGCAAGAGGAACAACTGTTCTTAGCCAAGCATTCTGAACATTAAAGAGATTATGAAGGTTAGTTTTAAGATAGTCAAAAACTGTTGAATGGACATATCATGCTATATTAAAATGCCCCTTTCAGTCATTTATAAAAAAAGCACAACAGTATCTTCTGCATGAACATTGTACAATATATATAGGCTGGATTCATACACTTAACTGCAATTAATACCCACAGAAATAAATGGGACGTTTAAATTGTTCCATTGTTTTCAATGGTATCCAGATTAAACTAATTTAGATTTAATCCTCTAGGTAAATTAAAAATTTGAGGCGATATATTCACCACTTGATCACCATGCATAATGTAAAATACTTAAAAACAAAACATATATACACCATAACATGATTACAGAAAGTTTTTTAGTAGATATTATAACTTCACAAACTTATCAAAGTTATAGGTCCAAAATATTTTACACTTTTTAAATTTCTAGGTTAAGAATTAGATAATTGCATTTTCAGTACATGGCATGGGTTAGTAAAGTATAGTCCTCCATTTGTTGAGCTATAGTTTTTAACAGCCTGAGTTAATATGACCAACATATAGAATGCTAGAAATTATAGTACTATATCAAGAGGGCCAAACTTTATTCACTATATTAGGTATTCACATATTTATTTCTTGATACAAGTCACTAGTGTCAACAAATATTGTGTCTCAATACATATTTCTTTTAGCTATATACATATTTTGATAGCTACCACAATTTTCTCTCACATCCTGTCTTCTCAAACCTGCTAAAATTTATTTAGAAGAATAGAAGTTGAATATTTAGAGCAAGGGATACCAGAACAAGGAAGATCTTCTAAAAACATTAAGATACTGAGCAATTTAAGAAAACTGCTTTGTAAAATTAAAAGTGGCTGTTATAAGCACCTCTGGATTGTTGAACAAATATCACAAAGAAATATTCTGTTAGATTCCATGTGGAATTGACACAAGATGATTCTCTCCTAAAATAGCACCATAGAGATTTTTTTACAAAAAGAATTCATATCAATTTTCCTTAATCTGAAATCTCTTTGATTTTGTAGAGATTCTAACTTTCAGAACTCCTTGTCACCAAGTTGATGGTTCCTTCTTGAAAGTCTTTGTGACAATCACTTTAGAAGCATCATATGGTAAGGGTAGAGATGGGAAGGCCTGGAAAAAAACTGTAAAAATGGGGAACAAAACAGTTTTTTTTTTCCAAAGCCATTTTTTCCAGAAAATTTGAAAAAAAGGAGTGTGGAATATATTATTTTCCAATGATAAATAATATCTCTATGACATAGCATTCAAACTATATCACATGGTATTCAAACTATATAACATTGAGACCTTAATGAAAGTTTTCAGAGACATTTTGCAAGTTCTCTCAGTTGAAGACAAGTAAATTCTAGAATACAATGCAAGTAATGTGGTATTTCTCAATGCAGTTCTTAAACAAGAAAAATATGCATTTGTGCCACTAAGACAGCAGACCTCCTTCAGTTGAATTAATTTTTGGTGTACAGTAGATGATAGTTTCTGTCCTCCTTTTGGGCCTTAACTGACAGATCAGAGGAAAAAAATTGTCTGATAAATTCACTTCTCTTTTGTAACCCTTAAATGATTCCTATTAATGTTCTCCACCAACACAACATAATGTTTACCTATAGTCTAGTCAGTAAATTGGTTTTTCTTTTCCTCCTCTCAGTAAAATGGTGAGAGTTTGGAAACATTTCCACCATGCAATTTCTGGTGAAAGCCAAGCTGCAATTTGCAAATATTATGGAAAGAAATATACTTTTCCAAATGCTACAAGGATGACAAAACACATCTGTGCATGACAGAGGTGCCCTAAAGATATTAAAGAATACTTTATGGAATTAAATGGTGAGGACCAGAATGAAAGTACATATTGTTTTTCCTTCCAGAGTTCTAATTCCAGAAACATTCAGTCTGCTGCTTCTAGATCATCACAAAGTATTTCTTCACCAGCAGCATCAAGTAAGGAAGTGTTGCAAACCACTGCCTCACAAAAATACACAATACCTTCATTTATAGATAAAATGACACCTGAAAATCAGGAGAAAATTGATCATGTTCTTGCAAGCTCAATATATGCCTCTGGATCAGCTTTGTCAATAACTGAAAATGGCAGGAAACTTTTACGTTATTACAACCATACCATTTGCCAAGCAGACATTCCTTGAGCAAGCCTCTTCTGGAATCAGAATATGAGCATGTGATGGAATCTGTACAAGGAAAAATCAGTGAAGTACTATGTCTTGCAGAACTTAGATGGATGGACAAATGTTTGGGGAGAAGTAATCATCAACTTTGTGGTTAACAACATCTCAACCAGTCTTTTATAGAAGCATTGAAACTGAAGAGAACAGACATACTGCAGAGTGTATCAGCAGTGAAATATGTGCATTTTAGAGAAAATTGGGAGTGGTAAAGTATTTGCTTTGCTGACTTGACAATGCAAGCAATATGAAAGCTGCATGGGGAAATCATAATGGACAAGTATCCACATATTACTGTAATAGTATGTTCATCTCATGGTCTAAATTTACTCCTTAACTGACTTCATGAAATTGGACACCCTTCAAAGGATTTATAGAAGCGCTGAAGTTCTCAAATATGTAAAAGCTACTCATGTTGTCACTACAGTCTACAAGAAAATGCACAGAATAAAATAGTGACGCTGAAGCTCTAGTAAAACACATTGGGTTGGAGTGAAAGTTTACTAAAAGATAAAGAAGCTCTTCAAACAACAGTAAAATTCCAGAAATATAAGGAATACTGTGCTTGATGAGGATGTATTTTGGGTTCACCTGCAGAACTCCTTACATATGTTAATGCCATTATTTTCAGCAATCCATACATCTGAATCAGACACTGCACTTTTGTCAAAAATTCCTAACCACATGGCTATGATAAAAACATCCATTTTTGAAAAACTTACAACTGCTGAAAAAAATAAAGTGAAAGGTTTTATTAAGAAACGGGAAGACATGGTAGCAAGGTTTCTGCACCACACAACCTCTGGCAGCTCTTGTATCTCACTTACTGCATATTCCTGCATCTTCTGCTACATGTGAAAAAATCTGGTCTATGGTAATATTCATACCAAGAAATCAAGAAACAAACTGACTTGTGAACGGTAGAAAAGCTTGTTTCAATCTGTGCAACCCTAAAGATTTTAGAAGTCCATGAGAAAAAGGACAAAGAAGAAGAGGAAAAGGAAGAAAAAATGGAAAATGATAGTGGTTTAGAAAATGAGATAGAATAAACTGCATATATATGTTTTGTCCTCTGTTTCTTTTAAATATTGAAAAGGTTAACCTTCTATGGAGGTTAAATATGGAGGTGAACCTTAACTTTATTTGCTATTGGCTAAGGAGCAAATTATTTTTTATGTTGATGGTTTCTTGCTTTTTTGTTGCTTTTGAGGGAAAAGGGGTTGGTTACCTGTTTTATTGCAAGCATAATGCATTTATACACACATCAATTCATTAAATTTGTAAAACTACTCCACACTGAACTTTTTTTTTTCAATTTTCTCAAAATTTCTATTTTTTCCAGAAAAAAACAGGGAAAAAAGTTTTTTCTCATGGTTTTAAAATTTCCGGATATTTTACATCCTAGGTAAGAGATGTAATCCCAAAATGATGATATCTCATTATTTATTAGGAAAAAAGCAAGTAAAATATCAACTGGGACTATTTAGTGGCACCTTGCAATAGGTGTCCAACTAAGCATGTTCAGCATTTGCTGCTTAATACCATATATTTGTCTTCTTGAGCTTTCCATTTTCAAATTCTGATTCTTGTTGATAGTAAACAGAGAATTATATGTTCAATGTATTTTAGCCCTTCCATAAATTGAGAAAAATAAAAATAAATAGCTTGTATATAATATAGCAAGTTGTTAAGCAAGTGAGTTAAACTATCATGAATTACCTTTTTAAAAAAGGAACTATTCTTCCACATGAAATCAGGAGCTACTAAATTCTAAGCAACTTGTACTAGATCATTATGAAGACTGCATACATTAAAAGCTCAAAACAGGAAACACCCTTGAACAAATTTGATACATGATCTTCCCTTATTATCTCACTTGTGAGAAGAGAGAAATGGGGTGGAGGGCAGGGCTTTCTTGAGCAATCCATTTGGGGTAAAGGCAAAAGGCAAATGCCCTACAATTATTTCAGATTAAATCTGAAATATACTTTTTATATTATTGCACCATAGTCATTCGCATAAGCATATTAAACATTTAGAAGATTTATATTACTGTGGGCATTTATCATACATGTCTGAAATATTTGTGTAAGAAAAAGAAAATTACAGTAAATAAGTGCCACATATTATAATCAATTGCTACAAACATAATTAATCCTTTCAAAAGTTACCTTTTTAAAATGTAGTAATTGCTTTAATTTGGAGGGAACTTTTATTTATTTGACTGTAATCTGTGTAATATAAACACATTTCTCTCTGTCTCCCATTAACAGTCATCACTGCAAACTATGCATAGTCAAAAGAAGAATGCCAATCACAACGTAAATATTGTGAAAAGGAGGGACCAAAAAAGAAGCTGTACATATTTCAGTTGGTAGAAGTCTCAAGTTCTGCTTTGTTTGTTTCTGTCTCACTGAATAGCAGTTTTCGAAAGATACTTGCATAGAATGGTCCATAAACCTGTTTATTAAGGTTAACAATGCTAGCATACTGAGATCCAATAGTCTCTATCTCTTTTTGAATCACACCAAGACCTCCAGGAACTGTAGGCATAGATTTTTGAAAGCATGGAGAAGCAAGCAAGCTTTTCATGTACAAATGAATTCGTTTACCTGAAAAAGAAAAATACCCACACATACATATACAGTTAGACTTCCTGTCATTATTTAGGACAGCATTAATTTCTCATGAGGAATGAAAACTGATCAACTAACATGCTGATTAACTGCAAAGCATTCACACATCAAAAAAGGCAGCATAGCTATACAGATAGCATCCTGACTGATAACTGATGCATTAGAAGTTGACATCTAATCTATGAAAGATTTGGCACACAGACTGCAAAATGCATTGGAAATCTATTCAGAGGAAATATTTTCTCTTTCAGGGAAGTCATATTCAGTGTGGACCATATGAGAGTTATAATTTAGTAATACTTTAAGAGCCATAGGTTTCCAATTCCTGCTCCCAATGCCTTAGCAAACTACAGGTCTCCAGTTACAGCCATATCTGCCAAGATTCACAAATCATGACTCATAATGTTTGCTTGGTTTACAGTAATTTGTTTAGCAAACTTCAGCACTGATTTGTAAAATATGTGATCAACCCAGACAACTGATTTATTCAACAGTTAAGGTCACAAATATTCAATTGGAAGAACTATCTCCATAAACTATTGCAAACTAGTGACGAGGTTCATGCAGGTTTTAAATAGGAGAGACAAAACTACCTCCTGAACTTGTGCTCCTTTCAAATAACAATCTGGCTAAAAATGGGATCTTTATTTAGTGAAGCTAGGATTTCTGGATTCTGCAACTGAAATCTAAATCTAAAATCAGTAATGTACTATTAAATGTAAGAACCAAATATACGTTTCATATTAAGGATATGTCAAGTAATTTATCACTAACCAATTAAGGTGATGACAGCATTGTCTTCTTCAACAATGTTGCAGAGCTGACCTACCACATTTGCTTGAACTTCTTTATTTAAGAGCTGAAAGCCTCTCTTTGTGAGTGATTCATTTATTGTACTACATGTTTGAATACCTACTGCATTAAGAGCTTCTTTTAAATCAAAAGTCCTGCAAGAAAGAGGAGAGGAGATTAGAAACAAAATGCTATCACATAATGCTTTTGCCTTTTTAAAAATAATTTTTCAGTAATTCATGTGTTTACTTACTCCTTATGCATTCCTTCGAGCAGAACAAAAGAAATCCTTTTTTGTTTCTCAATGAAGTCTGGAATATCCTCAATAACTGCAGGCAGCATGTTGCTTGTTATGAGAGAAATACACGCTACAATCTTCAACTGATTCAATTTCTTGGATAATTCTTGAAGGCGAGTTTCATCTGTCATTAATGTCTGAAACAATTGGAAGAGAAACATTTATGGACAATCATCAAATATCTGACCATACTTAACATTTTTTTCATCTGCTTCAGGATAGAAAAAAGTCTGAGAAATGTAATCACCACCATATTTTCATTATATTCAATACTGCTGGTAATACAAATGCAAAATGTCCACACTCTGTTTCTTTATAAATATTTGTAAACATTTAAGTGTAAATTAGATTAAAGAGCAAATGGAGCTTGCATAGATACTGGTTAAAGCCCAAGGCTGATCCCAGCTTTCTGTATCACACATTAACTAATCAGATTCATTTAGAAGCTCTCAAATGTGAATAGGAGGATCTACTCTTCTTTTGCTGTTGCTCCCCAATAACTGCTATTCAAAGTAAAATTTTAAGAGCCTGGAGGTGCTAAACAGTATTTAAGATTAGGTAATATAATCTTTGACTTTCTCCTGTCTCTTAAAATTATTAAAACAATGATTGTCATTACATCTGATGGCAGCATATTCTGCAGAGTTAGTTGTTCCATTAATTCCTATAGGACAAAGTAAATAGGTTATCACAGAGTCAGGGCCTCAATGAATACAAGAAATTATAACACAATGAAATACATGGGTGTCAATCCATCTGTTCACATAACAGGGAGTCAATCTTTATTCAAGCTTGTTCTTGAAAAAGTATGACATTGTGGATGGTAATAACTGTTGAAAAATCTATTGGCCTAGAATCAGGCAACATGCTAACCTATAATATGATTTGTTTTTTTTATTAGTGTGTTGTGCTTTATTCCATAAATCATGGGTAAGCCAACCATGATTTAAATGTAAATTGCTATCCACTATGGATTATAGAAAAAGGAGAATAAAAAATTTAGAAGTTCTGAAATAGAAAGCAAATTACCTCTGGAATTGTTTTTTTCTGATAATCCCACTCTAACAGTTTCAGGTAGCTGTTTGTTAACACCACAATCGGACTAACATTTGGTTTTGAGATCCCATTAGCACCAGGAGATGATGACATTTCACAAGAAATAGAAGACAACTCATCTTGTATTGATTCCTTTATCCATTCGGTTGTCAAGTCTAGGGCACCTGATCATTTGGAGAAGAGATTAGAGAGACCAGATTTGCACTGCTAGTTTTACAAAGGCATGTACACAGTTCAGTAAATAAGCTATGGAAGCGAATAACTCAAGGACCTAATCACCAAAAGAAAATAAAACAGTTAAATATTGAAAACTAGATAAAGTTTTTAAAAACTAAGCTTACAACATGACAAAAAAACATATAATTATGCATAAGCATACAGTGTAAAAAAACATCCAGACGGTAAAACATGTAAGCCAGAATATTTTTGCAACTCAAGATTTTTTACCTGATAGTAATCATCAAAAAGTTTTAGAATATTTATCTCCCTTCCCCAAATCTGTTGCAGCTTTTTGCTCAACTGCTTCAGATCTCATACAATTGCCTTTGTTGCCACTTCATTGTCTATTCCCTTTTATGTAAGCAAAGAACATACTTGGAGTTTCTTCAAGTATATCTTGGAATTTTGCTCTTTCATAATCTATCAAGTTGCGCTGAACGTGAGGTCTAAGACTCTGGATAGTAAAATTAACCATATCCATTGTCATGAGATCCAGAACATGGAATATTTGCCTGAAAGAATACAGAAATGACAAATTTGCAGTATGTTCAAACATTGTTACTTACATACTTTTAATCGGTCATCCTTTCTCACAATGTGAACATGATATGTACTTTTATGATAATTTCCCAAGAGTTTAGTTTTCATCAAAAACTACATCCAATTCCAAGCTTCAAAGATAAGGCATGACATCATAAAGCTACTGAGCAGAATTTCAGTTGTTTTGCAATGTTCCTGTAGTTACATCTTTATATGACTTATAGCTATTACAAACGCAAAGATGCCTGTGGAAAACTGGCAGTGTCAAGAGTCACTTTTTAAGCTCTTAAGCAAGCAAATAGCCATCAAGCTGGAATAGATATCCACTGGAATTAAAACAACAACACTGATAGCTGAGTTGAATATAATGAAAGGGTGCTTCTTTTACAAGAGCCAAAGTAATATGGAAGTGAATGGTTGTTTTTACAAAAGGTAGGGGATAGGGGAAAAAACCAAATTTAAAAAATGGCCAAAGATTCACAGTTTAAAGTCAGACTCAAGATAGTGAGAGTATTTGGAATGTTTTAGTCCAGGTAAGTATCTATGGAGATTTATTCAAAGGCAACTGGGCTTTCAGAACTGAAGAAGTTTCTTGGATGAGAAGCAAAACATCTTCAAAGAAAAACAAGAAAGTCCAGTTGCCTCTTGAAAAAGCATCTTTGGCACAACCATGACCTGGATGACTGAGAATCTCCATAGCCATTTACCTGATCCAGTTGTCTCTTGAAAAAGCACCTTTGGGATGTTTTAGTCCAGGGTTTCTCAACCTCAGTAACTTTAGGTTGGGTGGGCTTCAACTCCCATAATTCCTCAGCTAGCAATGCTTTAGTCAATGGTAGGTATTATTGATGTCTTACTACCCACAGTAAAAGACAAATGGAAAGACTCTACAGCCATGTTAGCTGGAAATTCTAAATGGTATAAAAGACACCTGAAATTTTGGGGAGGATTGATTCAGATCATTCTTTTAACCACCACATAATGTTAAAAAGCAAATCACATACCAACCTCAACAATGCTACAATATTCCCAGTGGGCTTTAACTGATTGATATCATTGTCCCTTACTGGAGCACACAGCTTCCCCATGGTGCTAATGACATAGTTTGCAAGACCCTGGATATCAACTGCATTGTGCTCAGCCTGCTGCCTTATAAGGTCCGTGTCGAGGACTTCACAAATTTGGTTGCGCATCCTGTTAGCCCCCGGGTTCAAAAAAGAAAGAAGGATCTGCAAGATTAAAACCAGGAGTCAACTAAATTGCAATTAATGACCCATAATAGAAATGTGTGTTTCATGTGGCCAAAGAAACATATGGAAAGAACCAATTGATACTATAAGTTAGGAGGAATTTCAACAACTGTGGCTTTATGTTGCACATGCCAAACTTCCCTCTTAAAGAGCAATTATGAGTCCTGCCCATCTTGCCACTTGAAGTCACTCTATACACTTATTAATTCAAATGATGGGGGATGCTAGACCTAGATGCAAAACAAGTACTTGCTATTCTACATCTAGATTATTTCACAAATGAGTTGTTTGGAGGAACTAAGTGGCCACAAAGCTAACAACAAAGTGATTTTGGTTCAGTTTGTTGTGGGGGACAACAATGGAGGCAATTTTGACCTATTTGGAAGTTAAAAAATGTAACAAATTAATACATCCAAGTTCTACTAACAACAAGAGAGTCAGTTAGGTGTAGTGGTTAAGGCATCAGGATAGAAATGGGGAGACCATGAGTTCTACTTCTTAGGGACAAAGTCAGCTGGGTGACCTTGGGCTGGTCACTCTCTCCCAGACAATGACAAACCACTTCTGAAAAACCTTGCCAACAAAAGTACAAGGAGTAGTAACCCAGGCAGTTGCCAGGAGGCAACACTGAATCAAAGATATGCATTTGTACACAGACACCCCATCTCCACCCACTGCAAAACCTTTAAAAAATACAAAATAATGTTATGTAATGTTATGGTAAAATGTTGTAGTCGTATCAGCAGGCCCTGTTTAAGTACTCAGCATACAAATATTCACACACATAACTTTCAGGCAAAGCCTGCCAGGCAAACACATTTTTAACTGGCTTTCAGCACTCACAGGATAAGCTGAGCAGTTATTTTGGTCACCTTGAATATATCCCAATGCTACATTAGAGTCTAACATCACTGTAGGGAAATATTGGAAGAGTTGGCCAAATCATCATTTTTCATCTGAGAGCTGGACTACTGAAATATTTAACAGTTGCTAGTCATTAATACTGGTCCCTACCATGCCTCCTTGTATATAAGAACAAGTATTAGAGAAGAAGTGCTACAATGAATGCCATCAATCTTTGTATAATTCTGCCTCTGTCCGCCATTAAATTTTTGTATAATTCTGCCTCTGGCCGCCATCATAAACAAAAAGAAAAAACATGCCAAGCTTCCATGTATCTACATACAAAATTTTCTTATCATTTCTTTCCGTCTGTTATAAAACTTTTCAGCAGACTTCCCCACTCTGGTTGCATCTTGGATGTGCTCAAACTCAACTTTACCATTCTCCCAACTATCATGGTCAAGACACCTGAAGGACAATTAGACCAGGGATAACTTGAGAAGCTGTGCATTTTATATCTACAGCTTTGATTTACAGAATGCCAAGGTACAGGACCTGCTCCATGGTTGCTTATCAACAAGACAAAAACAAACTTAGCTTGAGAGAGCAGGATCAAAAACCCACCTCTTTAATTTCCTCAAACAGTTTGATTGCATGCTCATACTCTGGAGGGTCTTCATTCAAATCTTCTTCCAGGCGGTCCCAGAATGCTTTATGTACAATTTGTTTAACCCTTCCAGGCAAGCTGTCAAATGTGAGATGGGAAAGACAGGAAAGTATAAGCATTCAAAGAAAGCAAAGTGCTAAAACTACAAAAGTCAAATCTAGTTCCTGCTTAAGAGGAAATGACTTACCATTTCATTACTAGAAAGATCCTAGCTAGGGGTGGGATTCAAAAATCCCAGCAACCGGTTCACTGCCCAGTTGCTGGGTGGGCATGGCCATGGTGGGTGTGGCCTACCGGTACTTCCAGGAGGGCCTGTTTTTGCCTTCCTAGGGGTCTGGAGGCTTCCTTGGGGCCTCTGGGAGGACGAAAACAGCCTCCCCTGGGCTCCGGAGGTCCCCCGGAAGCTGGAAACAGGCCCGTTTCCAGACTTCTGGTACTTCCAGAAGGCCCGTTTTACCCCCTCCCAGAGCCTCCGTGTGGACCCTGCATCAAAAATGGGCCACGAAGAGACTCCTGGGAGGGGAGGGGAGGGCGGGGCCAGCCAGTTGGTTCAAATACCAGTTTGATGAACCAGATGCAAATTTAACATCCAGTTCGCCCAAACCAGTACGAACTGGTAGAATCCCACCCCTGATCCTAGCCATAGCAGTTTATAAATGAAAGATCAGGGCTCAATTATTTGTGAAATGGACCAATGCAGTTGTTACGGAGGCCATGATTTATGTTCTATGTAACCCTAGCCAGTATTTACAGGAATACTGTTAATTCAAGTTCTTTTTTAAGTAGCAATGTTTAAATCCCATGGGCTTATCAGTTTGATTCACAAGCTTAGCCTGAAAAAAAACAAAAACCCTTGCTTAGTTTTTTTGAGAATACATTCTGTATCAAAAGATGAACATTTTAAAGGACCCCTGAAACTATGCAAAACACCTGTGAATGCTTGTTGATCTGTTTAAAAACTGGCTCCCCTTTCCCCCCATCTTTTAAAAAACCTGAGCCTACCTGTTCTGCGGGTGTTCTACGCGTTCCAAATGAAAATTCTTATTTACAGCAATTTCATGAGCCAGAGTCAGGTTTGACAGATTCCTTGCAGCTGCCATCATTTCATCAAATGTAACCATTTTGGGAGGGCTTGTTGCTGGAATCAAGAAATAAAACATATGACACATTGACTTGACATGCAAACCGATAAATATTTTACATTTATGAGCGGGTTCTTTACTTAGTGTTTTAAAAAAGTTTACTTTGAATCTGTATTTTCACTAAATACCCCTTTTTTTTTGCAAATTCCAAGCCAGGAGATTTTGTTACCCAAAATACAATTCAAAAATTGTCAGTCCTTGTTGCTCTATCATTGTTCCTATCACAGGACGTTAGTGTTTATTCCTGAGCAACAGGCTAACTTAGAAATTAACTTTAGGACAAGTTAATTGAGCCTCCCCACCATCCTATAGCTGGGTTCATATACCATACTCAGCCATAGTACACTTTGTTTTAGCCTGCATGTTCAGTTGGTATCCTACTGTGGCTGAAACCATGGTTTATGGAATCAATCAGCCAACTGTACCTTATTCAGCAAGCCCTGGTTAATATGTGCTGCCCAGAGAAATCCTCCTTTCTCCTTGAGCTTTTATACAAAAGCTAATCAAATTGGCATTTGTACTTTATTTTGACAACAAAAATAAAACAAGAATGGTAACTTTACTCGAAGGAAGCAGATTAACACCAGAGATTCAAGTGTATATAGAGATTCTCAGTCATCCAGGTCATAGTTCTCCCAAAGGTGCTTTTTCAAGAAGCAACTGGATTTTCTTGTTACAAGAAAGTTCAGTTGCACAGTTGCCTCTTGAAAAAGCACTTTTGGGAAATCAGAGATTCAAGATGCTTTTCACAGCATCAAGTTTTATCCACAGTTGGCCCATTCTGTCTAGTGAAAAGGCCAATTCTGATTTCTGGACATCAGAAATTGCTTGCTCTTTGAAGTCAATTAATAAAATCTCTTTAAAAATGTATCTAAATATAGGTGTTTGATACTGAATGTTTTCTATTTATTGGCATGCTATTTGTTTCTATTTTTACAACAGTTATTATTTCCTCTTTTACTCAATTGCAAGATATTTTATTAGAGAAATCCAACTGAGAATGTATTAATAAAATCAGTGAGTAAATAAATACTAAGCAGAAGTGAATTAAAATGAGGAAATTACACATTCTATTCAAAGTAAAAAATTCCAAGCATCTTAGTGAAATGTTTTTGCACAAAATTACATTTTCAGCACACCCATAAATTATAGAATGTTCTGGACCTTTTCTAAGGTGATCGTTTAGTTCAGCCGGAGGACAACAGAAGCATTCTGTAAAATTTCAAAAGGTACCTAAGGATATGGCTGGCATATCTCTGCAGACAGCAATTATAAACATAATTTAAGGAAGTATTTCATGATATTTTTACTAATGCCTACCATCAATAGATGGGCAACTGCTAGGATCCAAACCTGTGTTGGTCATAAATTAACAATAATTTCATATTCGGGCAATCTCTTTCACCCACAAGATTTGGCATGATGTCATGGAAGATAGCTAAAAAAAACCTTCTAAAATATGGCCGGCCTCAATTGCCACAGGAAACTACTGAAATTTTGCACAATTTGGGAAGTTGTTACCTTGACTATTCTGAGGACACAATCTAGAAGTGTCAAGGACATTACACTGTCCTCCTTGACAAAAATCCTACAAATGCCCAATTAAGGCTGGAAGATCCATATCTTCCTCAAAGTGGAGGAGGATCTGCATATTCAATCTGAAATTATCCCAGACCCTTTTGGCAATTCAGAGGCACATATCCCTGGTATGTGCTTCTTACTTACAGGCTGGAGAACTGGGTTTGCTTGAAGAATCACTGGTAAAACTTTGCCTTGAGTATTCAGAGTCACTAGATGAAGAAGTTGCACTTTCTGAAGATCTAGAAGAATCACAGTCACTGCTCTGCTCATCAGTGAAAGGCATTTTGGATCACTTCTGTTGATCCAGTAAATAGAACCTACCAAATTTTTAAAAAGAGGTTTATTAAAATCTGCTTGATACAGCTGTAAGAAAGTCTTTAAAAAATGTTACCACTGACTGAAGAGCAATAATACTGAATTGAAATGAATAGTAGTGTTTATTCCAAATAATTTATCTTTAAAATGGAAGGATATCCAATAGATTCAATGAACATATAGGAAGTAGGTGAGGGTTTTTTCCCTATAAGCTTCCTTAGAGGGATGGTGTCATCTGGCCTTGGGATAAATCTGATATACAAATATTGCCTATCTTAAATACAACATCCTTTTATTGTACATTTAAAATGGAATTAGACAGTATTATTAAATGTCTTTGGATTTTATACCAACCTGGCTTAAGCTGTATGGTGTACAGAGTAATGCTGAGAGTTTGGGGAAAATAATTAAAATAAGACACCGAACCTAGACATGTTTATTCATAATCACAGATTATGTTCTTTCTATGATTCAATTTTATTACAACTATTCCCAACCCTAGTGACCTCCAGATGTGGCCATTTTCCTAGCTGATGATCATGAAAAACTGTGGACGAGTAAATTACTGAATGTTAGTCAAAACTGTATACTAACCTGTGTAAGCAAGCACCAAATGAAGTTGTGAGAATTGTCTACAGGTAGTCTAGATGCAATCCTCTTGAAAATTAAAAAGACAGATATTTAATTTAACATTTAGAATTTAGCTAATATTTCAAAGGATTTTCCACATATATAATTTTATCAGTCTTTATAGGAATTGTATAAGACAGATTCATATTCTAAGATAAAAACCTAGTCTGGGTATTTAATGTTTAATGTTAAATAATGGAAATCATTTTAGGCTATAAAATGTAGGATAGCATTTTATGGACCACTGGATTCCTTAGAAACTGATATGCTTGTCCTTATCAAGATGCTAATTATCTAAACTCTGCATAACTGAAGTTCCATTTTTCATTGTAATTTTAAGTGGGGAGGGTTCTCTTTTGGATATGGATTCTATTACCTACTACTAAAAAAATTAGAGAAGTTTTACTTTATTTTCTAGGACAAATTATCCTTACTCTATTCTTGTTAATAAAGATTTACTAAAACAAAAAGAGAAACAATCACTTTGATTTCTTGGAATATTCAATAATATTTAACCAGTTAAATAATTGGCGATCATCCAACTGATCAACTTAGAATATTTGTCTAGTGGATTAAATAATGTGCCAATTTATGCAATATGAAACCTAACACTGAGGTCAGTGTGATAAGAGATTTAAACCAGTCATTACTCAATTCATATACTTTATCCATTATTATGCTAATACCCCTATTCACTTTTGAAAAACCCATAACTGAAAATCCATTATTAACATATAACACCTCTTGTAGTGAACCATCAATAATTCTCATGATTTAATGCAATGTGCAATGTAATGCAATGTGCCAACAACCATTTCTAATGTTGGCCAGATAGATTAATAATCCCACCAATCATATCTAGGCACATGTGCAGAACAGGAAATAAACATGATATCATACAGTTCAAAAACTATGGTTGGAATTTACAGTCATACAATTATTAAACTGCTCTGGTAATGAGTCAACAAGTATTTCATGCAAGCATGAATCTCTTGTTTACAACATGAACATTTTCCAGATGTTCGTTGATTCCATAGGAATCTTTTTAATCAAAACTATCAATGAATTGAAAGCCAATTAATTGTAGAGAAGGTGCCCACTTTGTGGACTTGAGAATTAGCTTTACAGCTGGTGAAGGAGAGAGAGATTAGTATGCTAGCCTTCATTCCTCCTCTTGTATGTAAACTTATGAAGTTTACATACAAGAATGAATAATGAATAAATAGAATGAAACTAGCCAATTCTAACTTTGTGTCCTTAAGATGTGTTAGCATATGGCAAGGAATTATAGAAACCATTTTTTTAACCAAAAGGACAGAATTTGGGGAAAAGGGACCAAAACATAATTGCATGTTAACAGGCATTCTTTACTTTTTAATATCAAAAGGGTAAGTCACAACACAACTGTCATTTATTTGAATGATTCCAAAGTCAACTAAAAATATTTGTCCTCAAATGTGCAAGATACTCTACAGCAGTAGCATTGTAGTCGCCCACCCTTGATTTGCAAGTGAAGTTCCTTGTGCTATACAGTAATCTTGATGATCATGATATCAAAGACGCTAAAACATTTTATTCTTGGGCAGTTATAGAAAACCTATGACAAGATAAACCGGCATAGTCTCAAAAACAGCACATAAAAACACTCTGGTGTGTATTTGAAGAACAAGTGAGACTATAAACTATTGTAGATCAATGACAATGACTGAGTCTACCTAGTTCACTAAGCCAAAATCAAATAAATTACACTATTGTTCAGCTTGACATGTGAATAAAACCACAATATTAATGACACAGTCTAGGAACAATTTACCTAATTACAAATATCAGACCCAATGAAGAAAACTGACACAATAATGACACATACTTTAAAATTTTGAAACTTTATGTCATATTGCACAAAGTACACAAGAAGATGAGTCATTGATCCAGGCAATTAAATAAGACCATCCCTCATTTGCACACAGCATGATGACTCCAGAAAGAAATTTGAATTGCTTTCCTTCCAACTTCATATTTTCTTTCTTTGGACTCTCTCATCTGTGGTCTTTTTAAAATAGCTAATATAAGTAGGCTTCCTTTCCAAGTACATTCTGCTTCTCAGATATTACTGTACTGACATTTAGAAATGGACGTTCTTTCTGACTTTGTGATGTAGCAATCATCAAAGTACTCTTTTCCATTTTCTAGAAAAGGTTTTAGGAAAATAATCCTATATAAAAATAAATCAGCTACAGAAAGTTGCAATTTAAAAATGCACACATCAAAGATGTTTGTACATCAATGCAGAACCCGGATACACTAAAGACCAATTAACCACTTACTAATATAGTAGAGAGGAGGATATGGTTATTTTGTGTGCTATTATTCCCAGGATATATTCTGATTCTCAAACTTAAAGGGAAGATCTTTACATAGATCTATCTAGATACTGATTTTATATCACATTCAGAAGCAAGGAAGGATAGTAGTTGCAAATAGTTTTCTTATCAGCTTACTCAGAATATAGATACAAAGCATGAAGAAAAATATTTTTTAATTTATTCTTCAAGTTGCATACTTAAGAAATTTACTAAAGTGAGTTAGACTCATTCACTATTCTCTCTCCTCTACTTCTTCCACTGCTTAAACAAATAATACATTTCTAAGGTTTCACCAGCCCTATATTGCAAATAGAAAGCATTTGGATAATGTTCTTAATTTGTCATTTCATGTTATAAAAGGGGTTTGCCCTTAACTGACTGTTAAAAGTTCATGTTTAGAAGAATACAACCCTTCCATAAAGCAGGCATTAAATGAGCATGCTGACAAAAGCCAAATTAAATCAATAAGAAACTGAAAAGAATGGAAGGAGATGCTGGTAGAAAATTTTTGATGTTCAGATATTTTGGTGTAAGGTTTTCATTGTAACTTTTTGCTGCAGGACCATGTGAAAAACATGTAGGTCTCAGAAAATTAAGGACAGTCAGTAGGTATGCAACTATATATAGATGCAACCAACCAGAAATCGAGTGATAGAATCCATGCATCACTGGAGTGGACAGGATTGTGGAGTGGATAAAGTTGCAGTCTGCATATTTTATGCTATCTTGGGGAACTGGAAAGCTACTACTATTAGCCTGATAGGAAAAGGCAATAAATAAAAATAAATATGAAGACCTCTACACACTTCATTTACTCCTCTGCAAAGCACATAGTAAATCTATCTGTCCTAAGTGCAACTATATAGTACGTGCATACACAACAAATAAAGGCAGAACATAAAATAGAAATCCACAGCCTTATTTTGGATGGAAAATAAGCTTCATTACAAATTACACTGGATAAGAAAACGTGAGATAGTGTTTAAATGCTTCAAAGAATCTTAAAAATAAACTGCATATATGTGACTTATTAACACCCTGCTTACCATGTTTACTCCACTACTTTTAGATTTTCCTATCCTGGTCAATCCTCACCTGTTTAAGAGTTGCTCCCTATGTGGGATTTGATGCAGTTCATTGGCAGTTACACTTTCAACATGTATTCTGAAGATCATTTAAGAACTATGTAGCAGATCTGCAGACTGGGACACAGAAAAGAAGACATTTCAGTAAAACCAATATAATTGTATAGCATGTTGCCAACATATCAGTATGTATTGTGCCCAGGGGTGGGATTCTACAGGTTTGCACCTATTCACTAGAACCAGTGGTTAACATTCTAAGCAGTTCAGAAAACCGGTTGTTAGAAATTACTGGCCTAATCCTGTAAGGAAGGCAGGAAGGTAACATTCTGGTTTTGCTTACAAAAACTGCCTCTCCGTTAACCCTTATTACATTCTTGGCAGGACTAGACTTCCTGTCTCTGGAACTTCTCTGGAGTTTTTTTTCCTCCTTTGCTGGTACTTTGCTTGTGTGGAGTGACCATTCAAAGTTACAATGGCACTGAAAAAAGTGACTTATGACCATTTTTCACACTTACGACTGTTGTAGCATCCTCCCAGTCATGAGAGGCCAGGTGAGGAGATGCGTGCCTCGATGTGAGTGATGTTGAGTTGACCACACCCAGCCAGTCACATGACCACCAAGCCATGCCCAACAACTAAGCCACGCCCACAGAACCGGTTGTTAAAAAATTTGAATCCCACCCCTGATTGTGCCTATTTGGGGTAGAAAAAATGAAATAAAATGGAGTTTGCATAGCAGTTTAGATTCTTCACTCTCCATTACGGTCAACATTTACATAGTTGTCAAACTCCTGCAATTTCATTTTTGAGCAATTTTATAGCGTGGCAAGGGCAAACATAACATTAACTCATGCATGAATTTTATTTTATGTATGACTTATTGCAAACATTAATCCAGAAGACAGAAACTCGTTGTTTTTCTCCTGCTGTGAACTAAATTCAGTCTTTGGAGCAGCAACCTTTTTCTTTTGTTTTCTCCCTGCATGCTAGTAGGAAAGGGGCAGACAACTCTCTTCAGAGATCAAGTGGAGGAGAATAAATACTTATAGAGGTAGGTTCTGCATAGACTCTAGTATTAGCTAACCATTTAGATTGCATAATTTTTACCAAGAATTATGAGTGCTTTAGTGACCTTTCAACCTATTGTTCTTTCCTACCCTTGCATTTTTACTAAACGCTTCAGCTCTCCTAGCATTTTCTTTAAGACTAAGACAAACATGACCTGGAAAATCTATAAATGGACTCTCTTCTTCCCCCTCCCACAGTATCTGTATTTCACAACTAGCTTATTCTTCATTTAAAAGGCTAAATGCTAGTCTATGAAGTAACAGCTTGAACTCTCTCAGAATATTGCTTTCCACGTTTAAGTTACTCCTTTAAAACTAAAGGGAATTTCTCCAAAGGGAAGAGAGAAAGTGCATCTCAATTAAATTACAGTCCATTATTAAGACGAAGAGACAAAAGCTGACAGAATTTACAGAAGTCTTCAGAATGCAGAGTCTCTCCCCCTCCCTCAAGAAAATATTATTCATTTAATCATCCATATTTATTGCAGGTTTATTTAATGCTTCTGCCTGGAGGTTTCTTTCCTGGTATTGAACAAATTGGTGGCAATGTTATTGCACATCTATATAAAATAAAACTTAAGAAAATATACTGGTGAAAAAATATGGTTGCACCACAATTCTATCAATGTTAGGATTCTTAAAATACTGCAAAGTTAGAATTCACAGAACTTAAATCAAGGGGGTTAATGAGGAAAGATGGTGAGCATTTCTGACTTCCATTTCTAATTCATCTGCATTGAAGTGCCACAGTAGACAGACAGTCTACTCTGTCATCCCTTTAAAGTGAGTCATTTATTAAATATAATTTTCCTTCATGGTGCAGGCGTTATCATTTCTGAGAATTTATAGGAAATATTTCTTATACCTGTCATCACTTTTATGCACTTCCCTTGGATTTTTGTATCTACTCATAGAATATCTATCTATCTATCTATCTATCTATCTATCTATCATCACTATTGTGTATGGTATGTTCTCTGTATTGTGGCATCCTTGTTACTCTCTGACCTTGGTTGTTTTCTTATTGAATAATGAAACATCTGCAAACAAACAGTCATGCTCAGAGAGCACCAAAGAGTCTACAGTTCTACCCTGAGCTACAAATATTGTTCTATTGTCCTCTGTAGGTTTACTTCCAGATTAATGTTGCCTGTTTGAATTTTATAAGTGAGTTATTGCTAGATAAAATGTAAAGAAAGTATGTTCTTTTTGTTTTTGTAATACACCAGAGCCCAAAATTACTAGTTTTGTGATTATTTTTTTTGCCTATTTAGTAGAAACAATTTATCACTTTAGGTTTCAGACACAGTGTGTAAAAATCATGAATATTCATGACGATTCTTGTTTCAAACAGAAGTTTGTTGCATCATGTCCCAGATCCTCAGATCTGTAGTTTTGATGTTTAGCTTTATGCAGAAATCTATGATCAATGTTTTGACAATTATTTCAACTGGAGCCAAGGTAAAATAAAATGACACAGATTCATGCCTTGAATCCAAGTATCCAATCAGTTGAACGGATATATTGTGATAATTCACTGTATACAGACAAAACTGTTCTGTGACTTTAGAATGATTTCATGTGACTCCCTTTAAAAATAATGCAAAATCAAATGATTTCTTCCCCAATCCAATTTTTGTGTCATGCTAGAGCCAAAAGTGGTGAGACCCATGATTGTCCAATTGTATGGACCTGACAAACATGATTTATTTCTTGATTATTTCATATAGGTTCCATGTAAAGATCCAGGTTTCAAATTATGTTTTAGTACTGCAATGGGATCAAAAGGACTCATGACTAAGAAGCCTCATTGAATGCTGGCAAATGTGTGCTATGATTTGAAGGTGGTTTCACATGATCTCATGGAAAAATCCAGAAAAATCAAGAGAATCTGTGCAGAAATAGAAATGATGAGATGTGCAAGTGTTACAGTGTATTCTGTGCTAATAGACATCTTATGATTTGACAGTTAATTATTACTGATTTTAATGTACATTTAGAAACATTTAAGTAATTTTCTATTTGTCAAATTAGGGGAAAAACCAACACTGTTAATTAAGATGATTTAAGTACAATAATGTTTATGAACATCTGAATCATATGCTACCTGATCTAAGCTGGAGAAATCTAGACAGCCACCATATAGAAGTTTTGCTTTTTAATTTTCAAATGTAGTTATAAGGAAATTGACTAAAATAATTAAAATGCAATGCCAACATACAGAACTCTTTCCTATGTAGGCTCCTATGTAGTGGTTCCCCAGATTTTTCTGGTGGTCGCACCTGAGACTTTATTTCCATAAGCCTAAATGCAATGGGCAGAGTAAGAGGACGGACAGATAATCCCTGACTTACAACTGTTCATTTAATGACCACTGGAAGTTACAACAGCATTGAAAACAGTGACTTATATTTTTTTCACACTTATGACAGTTGCAGCATCCTTATGACCAATATTCAGACACCTGGCAACTGACTCATATTTATGATGGTTGCAGTGTCCGGGAGTCATGTGATCACCTTTTGCAACCTCCTGACAAGCCAAGTCAATGGGGGAGCCAGATTCACTTAACAATCACCTCACTAAGTTACCAACTGCAGAGAGTCACTTAACAACCGTGGCAAAAAAGGTCGCAAAAGGTTTCACTCAGCAACATAAATCCTGAGCTCCATTGTGCTCGTAAGTCGAGGACTACCTCTACTAGCAGTCAATACGAGAGCAGCGTCCTCCGACGACTCGCTGTACCGTCCCAGATTTGCAAGAAAGAGCAAACGAGTAACCCGACGCCCCTCCTCGGAGGGCGAAAACAGCAGCTCCTCCTCGGTTTGGCCGATTCCCTTCCCCGCAGATGTATTTTTGGCGCCGTCTCAGCGGCTCAAGCCTCCTAGCACCCTCCGGTCCAAACAAAAGCAGCGTTTCCAAGGAAAATCTCCAAACAACAGATCGCTTCTCGCCTTCACGATCTCTGCAATTTCTATCAACGCTTCCGGATCTTTAACCGCATCCGAGAAGTTATGGGGAAGGGGGGGGTCGTTTTATTAAAAAAGGGGGGGGGGGCTCGGAAAGGACAAAATAATTTGGATTGTCGACAGATTCCTTCCCCCCCCACGTCCCCCCCAAGGGAATTATGGCTGCTTACCGCCCCCCACCTCAGCTTTGCCCGACCGCAAAAGCGCGCTTTGTGGTCGAGAGACGAGAGGAGTCACCTTGAGATCGAGCCTTATGTTTGTTTAACCAGGGGGGCTAAACAAGCCAACATGCGCGACAAACGGCGTAAGCCATTAGCCATTGTTTGCAATCCGAACCGCAGAGTCCGACACGGGCTTTGCTTCTCGTCAGGATCCGGCCAGAATGACACCCACCCGCCCCGCTTTCCCCGCGCTCCCGGGTTCTTCTCCCCCAGTGCAAGCGAGCCTTTAAAAGGGGGCTCCCGAGGCAATCCGGGGTTCAATCGTCGGTATGACTCTCGGGATTGGGGAGGTGCGCTTCTTTCTCATGAGGAGGAGGAAGGCAAGCCGAGAGCCACTCACCGCAAGATAGCCCTTTCCAAGCAGAGGAGTCCTCGGTTTCCCCTCACAGGTTCTGCCTTGGCTGCCCCTCAGCTCTTGTCACCCGGGCTTTAACTCTCCATCCGCCTCCCCCGTTTGGTTATACATAATCTTGGGCCGTCTATTAGCAGCTGCCTGGACGCTCCCACTTCTCTGTGAGGAGGGGGGGGGAAACGTTTCGTTCCGTATCTTAACCAACACGACAGGCAAGGGAAACGACACTCGGAGTGCGAAGCGACAAGTTTTAGCCCGGACAGGTCGAAGCTGGCTGCCCGGTACTTTTCCAAAAAAGGGAGGCAAATCCGTCCTTCCATGACAGGAGCCTTGCTCCCCTTCCCCTGAGTACGAATGCTCTCTCCCGGCTGGAGGGGCGGGGCCGAGCGATGTTTACGGAAGCGAGCGGGTGTCCCCAGTTCTCCCTGCTTGCTCGGGTCGGAGGGTTCCTCCTCTGGAGGATCATGTGGTTGGGTGCGCCAGCGCTGGGGCCAAAACAAGGCTCTTTCCTGCCCTCTCAGGCGGTTGGTTTATGTTGTTGCAGGAATGTAGATTGTCGATTCTGCCCCGACTTTGTCATAATACTTGCCTGCGTGAGTTGTCCGCCTGTATGTGATAAAATAGCTTCTCGTTGACGGTGGAAGATGGGAGCAGGAGGGGGGTTCGTAGAAGAGAAGCGAAAAGAAGGCAAGAGTCACGAAGTTCTCACTAGTAAATTATTCGCCTCAGGGTGCTAAATTTAAATGGCTTTGTACTGGATTTCATTCAGCCTCCCTGGAACATCAGGTTTGGAGCCTGTAGAGATTCTCAGTCATCCAGGTCATGGTTGTCCCAAAGGGGCTTTTTCAGGTGGCAACTGGATTTTTCTTGGTTTTTTTGGGAGGGGGGGATGTTATCTCCAACATGTCCACAATAGCTAAAGAGACTTGGGTTGGAGATGAATTAGACAAATTCATGAAAGGGTTTGCCTTAAAGCTGGTTTTGTTCGTTCATTTGGTGGGTATCATCCCTTGGGGCACTTTACAAACTTTGACATTAGGGGAAATTTCCATTTTCAAAGGCAACTGAAAAACAGTTGGAGGTAACAATTATAAAGGAATGCTGTCCTGTGATCTACTTGGTAGTTATTGGAAACATAATTGTTATGGAAAATAAGGTGAACAATATACAGTTACATTTTAATTTTATTTAGCAATGCTGTTTTACTGTGAGACACTATGGAACAAGTAAGAAAGTTTTGAAAGTTGGTGTTGGAGAAGACTCCAGAGAATACTGTGGACAGGCAAGAAAATGAATCATTAACAGAGCTCTCATTGGAGGCACAAATGACCAGGCTCAAATTATCCTAATTTGGACACATGAAGACTCAACTCTCTGGAAAAGGCTCTAATGTTGGAAAGGTTGAAGGAAAGAGAAGAGGATAACTAGCAGTGAAGTTTGATAGACTCCGATGTGGTGGTGATGAGTGCACCATTAGAAGACCCGAAGGATCAGGTTAGACTCAGATTGTCATGAAAATATATATATTTGTGAATCTATGTGGTCACTAGGAGTCAAACACAACCTGATGGCAGATAATAAAAAGTATATTTTAAGTTCTTCCCAAAACCAGTTTTTACAGTAACAAAATGTTCTGTCTTGAACTGGATCACAATTTGTTTAGCCCCAAAAATTGGCTTGAAAAGATTAAAATTTTGAAAGTCAATGTTAAATTTAAATTCTAGCCAAGCTATTTCAAAATGTATGCTGCAGTTTCTTCCATTAATGATTTAAAGGTTAATAAATGTTGAAGAGACTAAGGTACATATTTGTATTTGTTAAACTGACCCACCCCATTTCTTGGGAGAACCAACTCTGAATCATATGGAACTCCACCTGTTAAGAGGGCAGGATGCTACACTTTTCCCAGCTTTATAAAGTCAAGCCACTCCCATACTAAGTAGTCATTATTTTTTCTTCTTCCCCATGACTAAACACTCACATCCACACACTGATACAAAATCTATTTGCCCAGTTCTCTTAGAAGCTGAAGAAATATCATTGTTCAGTCTAGAGTGAAAAGTAATTCTCCAAATATAGAAAAATTGCCATGGCTTCATATAATACAGTTGACAGTTGCCAACTATAGTCTATTGTGAGGAATGAATGCTTGATAAAAGAAATTAAGGGTGTGTGTAAGATCATGTTTCTTTTATAAAGAAGTGAAAATTGGTTATGGTAGAAGAAACATACCATAATTTAAATGCAGTGGAAATAGGATACATAGGTGTGGAATAAAATAGGTAGGGTTAAGAATGATTGGGTTGAATAAATGAGAATTGACCAAATGCATGAGTGAGCAGTGCAAAAGAAATACATTGGGATACTTTTGTCATATTATATTGTACAGTAATGGATGTAGTTTGATTGCAAAATAAATGAAGATCAAACCTGAAATCCTGGTTGGGTGGATTTGACAAGATCCTGAAAAAGTGGAGAGAAGTCTTAAGAACAAAGATCAATATACAAAGTGAGATATGGTCATGATAGGAGAAATTACGGCTTGCAAGGCAGAAATGAATTTAACCTGGTTACTAAATGTGAACGGTGTGATGGGTATACCAACTGTTTTTCTCCTGGCAGGGCTCAGTACTTCCAACTCTGCATTTATCTTATGTCAGCAGGATCAGGATCACCAGCAGCAAAAGTAGTTGGCAACCCTACTTACAGATCTACATTTATCCTTGTTTACATTTTATCATAGCAGCAATGACAAAAATGAGAAGGAAACAGAAGCACAAAAAATTTCACTTTAATCAGAAATTCATAACTGATTTTTGTTATCTTTTCAATATATTATTATTCAGAAAATCTTTAAAATGAAGCTACAGTAATTGTGGAAGACTGGAGTTCATCAAGTTCTACTAACAATACAAAGATATAGGTTTTGTTTAGTTCTATAAATACAAATAAAATATAAAATATTTGTTTTAGTTATCCCACCAGCAGAGAATTGAAAGCATCTTTTACCAGCTGACAAAATGATTTCAGCATGCCATTTCCCAGTATTTTTAGTTTCTTCCAGTTGTGCCCAATCTGACTTCAAATGTTTTAGGTCTGTTACTCTTACAATTCCCACACAACAATAAGCTGCCTGGGGATTCTGGGACATAAAGGCTGAACATTTGATTTAGGAATGCTGTTTTATTATCCTTTTCCCAGCCTTTATATAACTATCATCTGTCAGAATTTGAGATTGGGTTTGACTTCTAAGGTGGCCAAATACAATCTAAGTGTCATTGGTCAGTGAGCTGTTTATTTCTTATTTGAATAAGGCTGTATAGGATTACATCATTTTCTCTTTGACATAGCTGACTTCTGGAGAGGAGATAGGGCAACAGGGCATAATATCCAGATGGAAAAAAGCAATATCGCTGAAGGAAGGCCCTTAGGAAATGTCTGCCTCAGGCTGCCAAAAAAAATACACTCTGTTTAGGCACAAAGACAAAGCAAGATTACTGTTGACTTCTTCAAACCTGTTCAGTCTGTTGTCAAATAGTTTTTCTTGGATATTGTTAACATGGTCCTGGCACCGTAGAACATACAATTCATTAAATGGACTGTAGTTATAAAAACATGCCACAAGGAAGTTCTTTTGCTTAAGAGAGTACATTTGGAAATTTGAGAGGATATTATTAGTGCATTCATAAAACAATTGCAATGGTAGGTGTGGCCAGTAACCGCCATTTATTAAAAGAGAAAGTGGTTGCTCCTTTAAGCTCCCCTTTACTTCTGCCAGAATGATCCCTAGTATCCAATTACATTTTTTCTAAGTTGATGTTCTAGCTATGTGGATCCAATAAAGCTCATATGGAGTCAAACTTGTAAAGATTCTGATTGCAAATTTTATGTTGCCCATAATATATAAACAGTTCGGCAACAAGTGTTAGCACACTCTATCCAACGGTACAGCTCAAAGATCTTTATTCAAAGGGAGATATGCACAGGTAGTCCTTGAATTATGACCATAGTTGAACCCAAAATTTCAGTTGCCGAGCAAGATGGTTTGGTGAGTTTTGCCCCATTTTACCACCTTTGTTTCCACAGTTGTTATGTGAATCACTGCTGTTTAGTAACATGGATGTTAACTGAATCTGGCTTCCCTAATGACTTGTCAGGTCAAAAAAAGTGATCACATAACCTTGGGACACTGCATATCATGTGTCAGTAAGCATCCAAATTTTGATCACATGACTGCAACAATCATGTGACAAATGGTCATAAGTCACTTTTTCATTGCCAGTGTAACTTTGGTCACTAAACAAACAGTTGGAAGTTGTGTACTGCCTGTAGATTTTGTTTTCATTGGTGTATTCATTCTATCTAGACACCCCTGGATAATTACTCTTTTGCGGATGCATCAAATTCCATGTAATGGTACATTAACAGCAAATGGGAAGTTAGAAATTAGAATTTGAAACTTGGAAGTCAGTCATTGATCAAGGTAAAAGTCTGTAAATATTATCCAAGTAACACATTTTTCACAGAAGTATTCCAAGTTTATATTCAGATTTTTCTTTGAATTCTGCCCTTACAAAGGTCAATCACAGTTCATGGGGATTATTTGAATCCATTTCCAAATGCTAGGCTGGTGCCATGTCTTTTTAGTTATTTAAAAACTTTACAAGACCTATTTGGTGCATAAGGATTATACAGATGAAGGTGGAATTTACACCATGCAAACTTCTCCTGTCAGAAATTGCTGGGAAGGCTGGAGAAGATAATCTTCTAACATTCCCGTACTACTAGAGTAGTTCAAAAAATGTATTTTTTCTGAAACACTGAAGGACTAAGGTTGCCATCTAGACCACGGATCCCCAACCTCTGGGCTGCGATTTGTTTGCATCCAGGCCATGGAAACAGTGGACGAGCACATATGTACCTCCACTTGCACAAGCAGTGGGCAAGTGCATGCATGCATGCTCCATTTGCATGAGTGTGGCTTGCCAGCCGGAACTATCCCCTCTTCCATAACCCCTGCTAGCCCACAAAGCTGGAAAGTTGGAGAACTTTGAGATTGACTCAATCTCAAAGTTAGAAACTAAAGTTTTTAATTCTGCATATCTCTGAGAATAAGTTTGATCAAACTCAGTGGGATTTATTTCTCAATAAATAAATGGAGAATTGTTCAGAGGCTCATCTGTATTAAGGATACTATACCTGGGCTCCAGGAACAAAGACATATTTTGGAACTGCAATATTGAGTTCCCAGCTAAGTGTTTGCCATGCAGTTCAGGTACTATTATGTCTTTCTCTCTTCAGCACTGGGAACAGCCTTTAATTTTGCATTTATAATATTTTTATGCACCAAAGACTAATTCCTTGTGTGTCCAATCACACTTGGCCAATAAAGAATTCTATTCTATTGTATTCATCCTTCAATAA